CCTGACCAGAGAATAGTATCAGTTTTGTTTGAGGTTTGAGGTTTGGAGGAACATCATGACCTGACTGTGACCTGATCAACCTGGACCACTGTAAGAACAAGGCATTCCACACCAAGAAGTTTGTAAAAACTAATCATACCCTTTCCTCATCTTCCTTTTCAAAGGGCTTTGCTGGGCCTTCCCTGGCAGTCCAGTGATTGAAATTCCCCACTGCATGGGGCATGGATTGGATCCCTGGCCGGTGAACTAAGATCCTACATGCCAAGAGGCGGAGCCAAAAAAAAAAAGAAAAAAAAGCTCTGCTTGAAAGCCTGGGGAGTTCTGGTTTGCCAGGCCCTGCAATAAACCTTAGGGCTTCCCAGATGGTAGGTGGTGAAGAATCTGCCTGCTAATGCAGGAAACATAGGCGACCCAGATTTGATCCTTGGGTTGGGAAGATTCCCTTAAAGTAGGAAATGGCAACCCACTCCAGTATTCTTGACTGGAAAATTCCATGGACAGAGGAGCCGGCTTGGCTACAGTCCATGAGGTTGCAAAGAGATGGGACACTACTGAGCATGCACATGAAGACAGTAAACTTTTCTCTGCTCCAAACTCCAACAACTTTTCAGTATTGTTTGACCTCACTGTGCCTCAGGCACACAGAGTTGCTTTAGGTAGCAGTTCATGTATCCCTGAATCATAAATCACATTGCTGGAATGAGTCAGCTTTCAGTAACATTCTTTTTCTATTTTTTTTTCCATAAAAATAAAAGCTGAGAGTTCTTGTTCACATAAATAAGAAAATGGGAATGGCAATGTAAATTTATCATAGCAATGACACTCACTTCTAGTTTATTTATTTGGCTGTGCCAGATCTTATTTGCAGCATATGGGATCTTCAATCATTGTTGCGACATGCAGAATCTTTAGTTGCAGCTTGGGCATTCGAGCTCTTATTTGTGGCATGTGGGATCTAGTTTCCTGACCAGGGATTGTACTTGGGCACTCTGCATTGAGAGCTTGGAGTCTTAGCCACTGGACCACCAGGGAAGACCCAACACTCACTTCTTTGAACTCCCTCTGAACTATATGTCAAAAATCACATCATGAGCTATCATAAATGTATTTTAAAATACATTAAAATTTATGGGGAGGGAGGCGGGAGGAGGGATCGGGATGGGGAACACATGTAAATCCATGGCTGATTCATGTCAATGTATGGCAAAAACCACTACAATATTGTAAAGTAATTAGCCTCCAACTAATAAAAATAAATGAAAAAAAATACATTAAAATTTAATGTATCAAGCTAAAAACTCAATTAGATTCTTTTAATTTTGTTGAAAACAAAGAATTGAAAACAACCTCACTTGCTAAAGGATTCATTACTCAATCATTAGAGTCCTTTATTTTCAAAAACAATATTTCAAATCGTATTTTTGTTTAGCAACCCAAATGTTTTTACATTTCCCCACCTCAGGAGAAAGGCAAATGGGCAATGGTAGACAAGGAGGGGATAAAATATGCGCAAAAGCTCTCAAGTAACTTAGTTTTAGGAGAAGGATATACAGAAATAGAGAATGTGAACATGAATACCTTCATAACTGGCCATGTCCTCATGTCCCTTGTAAGGACTTTGGGTATTCCTTGGAGTCTGCACACTTCAAGGTGAAGACCACTGGATTAGGGACGTGTAGCATGGTTGTCAGCCAGTGTAAAGTCTACATGAAACTTAATATAAATTCAAAGTGAGAAATTCAAAGCCAGCATGGTTGTATAGTTTTCTTTCCCTTGAGATATGCTCAGCCATGTGAAAGCAATGGCAGAGTGGCAGAGAGTTAGGACTTTTTTCCAGAAGTGCTGGGAAAGGATGAAGGGATAAAGGAGTCAAGGTTGTATGCAAAAATAACTTCAGGGTTATTGGTACAGCCCAAACAAGAAGGCGAGTGCTAAAATTTCCAGTTCTTAAGGAGGAGTTCTCCCAAGGTAGCAAAGTGAGAAGAGAAGAGGGCTCAAAACCAAGCTTTGGACAGCGCCAACATTTAATGTCAGGATGAGAAAGGCAGTAGAGATTGAGTGATTAGAGGTGGATATCAGAAAGTGTTGGGTCTTGGAGGCCAGGGAAAGTGTCCCAAGAAAGTGAAAGTGTACCTGTCACCTGCTGCTGGGGAAATCAGTAACAGGATGTCTGGAAAGTCCACTGTATTTAGTTACATCCAAGTCATTGGGGGAATTTAGGAGAGTATGAGGCAGAAGCCCAACTGGAATAGGATGTGGAAAATGAATGGGAGGTTGGGGATGTGAACAGCCATACTAACAATTCTTATTTGGATGTTGAAAGAAGGAGGACAATAGTGTTATTCTTTATCTCTTTCATTTTTTTCAATACAATATTTACTGCAGCTCAAAATATTTTTTTTGTCTTGTTTTCTTTATCTGTGCCTCTCCTTTCTCAAAAATGGAATCAAAGCTCTGAAGCTGGCAACCAACACTGTCTTTCCAGCTTGCACAGTATATTCAACACTTGGAAATATTTGTGAATCAATTAATGAATAAACCATGCTAAACAAAAGGCTTACAGAAGTAGTTCATCTCCAAATAAAGGTATATCTTGATCAAAAGACAAATTTATGCTTCATTTCCTTGAACTTGTAAGTAATTTTAAGCTCTTTTGGTTAAATCTGAAGAAGTGGACATTCAAGTTGATCTCATCTCATGCCCCAAACCTCTCTGAAATGGAATAAGAAAGGCACAGGCCTACAGGAAAAAGATGCTGACTTAAAAAAAGTGCACAAAGTAAAAGCATTGGATTAAGTTTTATTTGGAGAAAAATGAAGACTATAGCCAGGGAGACAGCATTTCAGATAGCCTGAGAAACTGCTCCAAAGAGGCAGGGTGAGGTCAGTATATCTGTGATATTGATTTCCCTTTTGATGAAGAGGGAGTACACACAATCAAGCACATGTTTCCTGGCAGAAGGTTTCTCCTAGTCACAAGGAGCAGACATCACCATGAAGGATTTTGGTGCTTTTCTAGATATGAGAAGATACAAGAATTGGGTTAATATAATCAGTTCCTGAAAACATCTAACTATCTGAAGACCTGTTCTGCTAATTTTTCCAGAACATGGAGTGCCTCATTCCTGATTTCCACCCTGAACTCCCTTCAGGGAGTGTTTTAGGTCAGCAGCTGCAGCAGCTCATGATTTAACCCTTGTAGAGGTAGGTGACAAGTACCAATTTGTAGTTGACAGAGAGAACAGGGGAAGAGACAATGACAGACAGGAGAAACCAACATCTTAGTGAGTGGAAAGCTGATGCAACTGAAAGAAGAGTAATTACTGACTTCATCAATCTGAGAAAGCAAAACCTAAGGGTGAAAGTGGGAGCTGTGGGCAACAAGAAGCAAGCTGATTCCAGAAGCAGAACTTCAGGAAAATGGAGGAATTTCACAGCTCTAGTTTCTTGTGAAAGCAAGAGGTACAAGATGATGGATTAAAAGTTTTTGAAGAAGTTGAGATACCTGCAGTTGATTCCCCACAGAAGGTAACCAGGCAACCCCCAGGCCAGAGCATCACTGGGAGAAGACTGAGGAAAGTTCTGTTAGGGAAATTAAATAAATAGTCTTGCTTAGGCTTTAGAGACAAAGCAGAGCAGGCCTCTGACCTTGCTTCTAACCTGCCTGGACACTGCCCTGACTGTGAGTGACTATGAGTGACTGCCTGCTGTGAGGGCAAGACTGCAGCACCTCAGATAAGATGGGGGAGGAATCTTGAGATTATTGAGCGCGTGGAGGAGGCCTGGCCAACCAAGCCCCAGGCTTAGCAACATTCAAAGTTTTACATGGCAAAACCATCATTAACTTGAAATCAAGCTTGCAACTTGGTCACAGATTGATGATGATATCAGTTTGCATCCATCCTGGGATTATAAGTGGGAACCCCGAACGGCAATCTTTGAAGGCTCACCCATGGAGCGGGACACGCTGCCTGGGACCCTTTCCCAATTGGGACTCCAGATGTACTGTGACATGAGACTTCCTAGAGCTGTTTAAATATGGATGTTGGTCAAAGCTCAATTTGGTGATGTATTCTCTGCTCTTTCTAGTTCTCTTTTCTTTTAATGTTAGTATGTTGAAAGTAAGTTAGAGAATTCTCTAGTAAGTATCTATATTATTTATTTGTATAAAACGAGTGGCTTATTTTGTTAAATCCTTTGAGCTTGAGACCAAAGTGAAAACTTTCTGCAAAACAGGGCCAAACCACACAAATCAGGCTTTGGGGACCTCAAACCCAACGGAGAGCAGAGATGAGGCTCCATACTAAATAAAGAGACTTTTACTGATGGAAGGCCTATATCCCAAGCAGTGAAGCTGCAGTCTCCTTTTCCCAGCTGGGTTCCAGAAGACTGGCAACCCACTTTCAATCCCCCAGGAGTCTGAAGCTTGGAGGCAACTGACTCCCTCAAGAAAAAATACCCACAGATATAGACATTTGAATGTGATTCAAAGCAAAATCTTTAAAAAGTCTTTACTGAATATGTTACTATATTGTTTCTCTTTTACATTTTGGTTTTTTGGCCACAAGGCAGGTAGGATCTTAGCACCTTGGATCTCTCCTCCACCAGGCATCAAACCCACACCGCCTGCATCGAAGGCAGTCTTAACTACTGGACAGCCAGGGAAGTCCCTGATTCAAAACTTTTAGTCTGGATTCCCTCTCAATAACTCACAGTAAGGGTACTAGTTCCCACCTGGGTACCACAGTGGCCCACCGGCTTAAGGATGGCTTGCTTTTAAGCAGGAGTTGTCAGGTCAAGACCACTAGACATTTAAGGGAGATTTTGGACAGGAACAAAAATTTAAAATAAAAAGCAACACGGAGGAGAGCCGGCGGAGCTGGTGGGACCGCGCCTGTTGCAAGATGGCGGCGGCCACGTGGTCCTCGCCGGTCGCAGGGCCACCACCGGCAGCGCCTGCGCTGCCTCCGGTCAGATGGGGCTCGATCTCACCGAAGGCCCCTAGTCAAGCGGGCCCAGCGATGTCCCGGCCTTTCTGGTCAAGCCGTGGACCCTCCTGAGTGACCCCTGACGGACACGCGGAGCTGCGTCCACGTGCTCGACCAGGCCGGCTGGCTGCCTGAGTCCTCGAGCAAGGCGCGGGCAGCTTCGTGCGGCGGCTCGACCCTGTGGCTTCCGGAAGGTGGTCCTCATCGAGACCGGCGGCCGGGTCGGGCCAGGGTCGATGACCCCGAGTGCCAGCACCGCGCGTCCTGCGCGGCCAGGAGTAGCTCCCTGAGAACAGTCAGGAGAAAGTGACAGCGGGTCCACCATGAGAAATGAGGACATAAAGCTTCGGGAGGACAGTGTCACCAGGCTGCTGACCGTCTCTCAGTGGGTGAAGGGGAAGCAGGAGAGCATGGACCCCATCCTGCCGGCCGTGAAGCAGAGGACGAGGCCCTGTGGCGGGAGGTGGCCGGCCTGCAGCAGAAGCACGCCAGGCCACAGAAAGCGGTTGATAGGCTCGTCCAGGTGCTCATCTGGCTGGCTTGGTCCAACCGGATACTGCAGGTGATGAGAACGATCCCGGTGATACTGAAGACGGCAGCTCAGCACATCCCAAGCCCCAGAACGACCAGCAATACTCCCTGGAGCAGGTCCACTACAGCTCCTAGGAGGCTCCCGCCTGGCCTACAGAGGCCCCAGCCTCTCCTCCCCAGATGCTGTTGCCAGCTCTGGGCCCATCATCTGTGACATCACTGAGCTGCCCCAAGCAGCCCCTTGGCAAAGAGAGACCCCTGTCCAGCAGGCCCTTGATTGGGATCAAGGAGGAGTCCCCCCACTCCCCAGCCTACCTCAGAGCCCCTGGGCCAAGGATTCTGGTCCCGGTCATGGGCACCCATCCTCCGTGATGGAGACTCCCTTGTCCCCAGTTCAGTTCAGTTCATTCACTCATTCATGTCCGACTGCAGCACGCCAGGCCTCCCTGTCCATCACCAACTCCCGGAGCTTACTCAAACTCACGTCCATCGAGTCGGTGATGCCATCCAACCATCTCATCCTCTGTCGTCCCCTTCTCCTCCCCACTTCAATCATTCCTAGTGTCAGGGTCTTTTCAAATGAGTCAGCTCTTTGCAACAGGTGGCCAAAGTATTGGAGTTTCAGCTTCAGCACCAGGCCTTCCAATGACTATTCAGGACTGATTTCCTTTACGATGGACTGGTTGGATCTTCTTGCAGTCCAAGGGACTCTTAAGAGTCTTCTCCAACATCACAGTTCAAGAGCATCAACTCTCTGGCGCTCTGCTTTCTTTACAGTCCAACTCTCACATCCATACATGACTACTGGAAAAGCCATAGCTTTGACTCGATGGACCTTTGTTGGCAAAGTAATGTCTCTGCTTTTTAATATGCTGTCTAGGTTGGTCATAGCTTTTCTTCCAAGGAGCAAGCGTCTTTTAATTTCATAGCTGAGTCACCAACTGCAGTGATTTTGGAGCCCAGCCACCCTCATTGACTCTATCCTGCGGAAGAACCTGAGCCCGCCACCCAGGCCGTGTCGACCACACCCTTTCCAGAGGGGGGGTTGGGGGGAGTGCCCTCCCCACAGTCCCTGCCCCTCCCGGCCCCACCCCCGCCTCTCTATCAGGAGCCTCAGCCTAACCCACCTGGACAGTTTGGCTCATGCCCTGCAGAGACCTGGGGTCACCTGTCTCTTCCCCAGCCCCTCCTGCTGTCTGCATTACCGAGTCCAGTCAGGGACCGGGCTCACGACCACTTGGATGCCACAGACTGCAACCTGGATGACCTGCAGACCAGGCAGACTAGCCACGGCTTCCACGTGGGCACCAGCGCCCTGCTGGATCTGTTCTGCCGCTCGGTGACGTGCCCAACAGGAGCCTGCCCGACCCGGGCAGCAGCCTGGCCCGCAAGCCCCCTGGACCGCTGGAGGCAGAGGACAGTAGCCCTGACTCCGGGAAGCAGCTCCTGCAGGCCCCAGGCTCTGTGGTGGCCAGCAACCTTCCGGTGCACTTCGAAATGAAGGAGGGCTCCTACTTTGGAAGACCACCCTAGGGGATCCCACCGTCTCCCTGCTGACGGGGAGGAGGGCCGACCTGTGCCCTTCCTCTCCCCTCCCGATGCAGGGCTGGTCTCAGGAGCCTGATAACTGGTCTGCCAAGGTGGGGCATGGCCCCCAGTCAGCACCAAGGGCCACCCCTGTGTGCCATCACTGGCTTGGCACTTCATAGCCACACTCAGACTGACCAGTACAGGTAGAATTGTATTTTGGACTTTTTTACATGAGAGACACCCCCCCCACACACACACCTTTTGCCTTTCTCCTTCTGTTGAGATGTCGTTGTCCTTATTCATTCAGTCGTGTCCAACGCTTTGTGACTCCATGGACTGTGGCCCACCAGGCTCCTCTGTTCATGGGATTTCCCAGGCAAGAATACTGGGGTGGGTTGCCATTTCCTTCTCCAGGGGATCTTCCCAACCCAGGGATCAAACCTGGGTCTCCAGCCTTGTGGGCAGATTCTTTACTGTCTGAGCCACCAGAGATATACAGATACATATGTGGATGGACACACGAGACAGGCAGAGATCTATGAACGTCCAGGATCTGTCTGTGGCTGGAAAAAAAACAACAGAGGATAGAGAGGAGAGGGAAATGTCTCATAAATTATAGTAAACTTCCTCATAGATGAGGGAGAGTATCTGTGAAAGAAAAACAGGATGCTGTAAAAAAAAAAAATTAGCAAGAAGGTGCAGTAAGATGATCAATAGTATATGAGAAATAAAATCTTAAGGCCAATTTTAAGATCTAGATTTTATTACTACTTATGATGGAAAGAAGCTACTGGCATTTTAAAGAACAATTGTCATTATCCTAAGATCAACCAACCAACAGAGGTATGTACCTTCTTTTTTGTCTTGAAAATGACTGGAATCTCTAAAGAAAGAAATGTATCTTTCTCCGAGAAATTCTTTCTCTGAGAAATTCTTGTGAGTACCTAGTTAACTGGAGAAATTAAATCTCACCCTAAATATTGAGGAGGCTCTTTAATGCGTATACAGTTAAAAATTAAAACCTGGCTTCGTTAAACCTTAAGCACGGCCTTCTAGGGGGAAGCTGATTTCTCTGTGTCTCTGAGATGTAAATGTTCTATATGATCTTACTAGCTTGCTCTATTGTGTGTTTGTTTGTTCATATTAGGCCTATAAGAGATCTTTTCCTGTTCTTACTCGGTGGCAAAATGATGGGTCCTTTTAAAATTAGAGAAACTAATGAATTATTAAATATAGGGCGCTCTCATTGTAAACAACTGTTTTGTTGGTACCTATAAAACACCAGGATTTCCTTGGTGGTTCAGGTGGTAAAGAATCTGCCTGCAATACAGGAGACCTGGATTAAATCCCTGGGTTGGGGAGATCCCCTGGAGAAGGGAATGGCAACCCACTCCAGTATTCTTGCCTGGAGAATTCCAAGGACAGAGGAGCCTGGCGGGCTACAGTCCATGGGGCTGCAAAGAGTTGCACACAACTGGGCGACTAACACATCAGGGTCTCTTGCTTACTTGGGCCCTTCGCAGGCATTGTACCTAATTTTGTATTTGTCCTTTTGGCATTCTTTTTCTTAGAAAGGGCCACCAGATTGTACAGTTTCCGAGCACCTAGACCTGGGTCTGTTAGCTTCCAGAGACAGTGCCTTCTTATACAAGTGTGGATTTACATATATTCTATATAAATACATAAATACTAGTATATCATGCTCAGCGTTCTTTGCCTTCGTTTTTTACAGTTCATATCTTGAAATCAATATTTACAGAGTTGTCTTATTTTTAACCATTGTGTTACATTATATTGTAGGGATAATGGCCCTTTTATTTAACAATTCATCTATTGTGACATAATTGAGTTATTTGTAGTATTTTACCAACACACCCGGTGCTGCAATGAAGATCTTTGTGTGTAATTCATGGTCAGGGTGACTGTACCTGCAGATATCTGGGGTAGTTCTTGCTTGTAATAGTGCTCCCTTTGAGTCTCAAAAAGTCCAGCGTAGATGTGTGTTGTTTGAAGTAGAATTGTTTGGCCAAAGAATATATAGATATTTAATTTCAGTAGATATTTTTAAATTGCCATCTATAGAGGTTGCACCATTGTACCCTTCCATCAATAATATGTGGACAGGAAATTCCCTGGTGGTCCAGTAGTTAAGACTTTGCTTTCATTGCCGGCTGGAATGGACAAGAAAAAAAACAACAACAGTGTGGACAGTATGAACAGTACTAATTTCCTTCCCTGGCTCCTGCCAACTGAGCTTGTTGTCAAGCTTCTCTATCTGTGTCTATCTGATGGGCAAAAAAGTGTGTCATCGTTATGTTAATTTACATTTTAAAAGTTAGGAGTTAGATAAATGCTAGTTAATGCTTTGTAAATAAAATCGGATGTTTATTAAAGAAAAAATAAATAAAAGGAGTAGAGACTTCCCTTGAGGTCCCTACAGGGGTGGTTAAGAATCCACCTGTCTGGGATGCATGAGACAAGTGCTCGGGCCTGGTGCACTGGGAAGACCCAGAGGAATCGGGTGGAGAGGGAGGTGGGAGGGGGGATCGGGATGGGGAATACATGTAACTCCATGGCTGATTCATGTCAATGTATGACAAAACCCACTGAAATGTTGTGAAGTAATTAGCCTCCAACTAATTAAAAAAAAGAAAAAAAAAGAAAAAAAAAAAGAATCCACCTGTCAGTGCAGGGGGATGGATGTGGCTTCTATCCCTAGTCCGGGAAGATCCCGTGTGCCTCGGGGCAACTAAGACCGTGTGCCACAACTGCTAAAGCTTGTGCACACCTAGAACCCATAGTCTGCAAGAAAAGCTGCTGCGGTGGGAAGCCTGCGTACCACAACAAGTAGCCCCTGCTCGCTGCAACCAGAGGAAGCCTGGGTGTAGCGACAAAGACCTAGTGCAGCCAAAATAAACTAAATAGATAAATGATTTTTTTTTAAGTTAGAAGTGAAATGAACTCTTTAAATTTCCATCAAATGGTTGAAAAACCATTTGAATTTCCTTTCCCATAAATAATCTATATCCTTTGCCTGTTTTTCTATTGGTTGTCAATATTTTTCTTATTGATTTGAAAGAGATGTTTATGTTTTTGGGGAGTGCTGCCTGTTATTTAGAAATAACTTTGGGAAAGTAAAGGCTAGCGGTAACAGTGTACAGATAAACATTATTTTAAGCCCATGCTTCTCAAACTGGTTTACACATGTACCAGGAAATACTTCTCAGTGTGACAGGGAACAGAGTAGATGATGCTTAATAGCATCAGCTCTGGAGCGAGACTGCCTACATTCATATTCTAGCTCTATGTTTTGCTAAGTAACTTTGGACACATCTTTTAAGTTTCATGGACTCAATTAACTATTCATAAAGTAGATAATAATCTCCACTTCACAAGGTTGAAATCAAAGAGCCTATGCCAAGAAAAGTTGGCTTGGAAAATCAAAATAAACAATAATTCTCATCCTGTTATTTGGATTTTTTAAAGAAAAGAATCATAAGGAGCTTTCCTAGTGGTCCAGTGGTTAAGAATCCACCTTGCAAGGGGATTTGTCCACCAAAGCAGGGGACACTGCTTTGATCCCTGGTCCTGGAAGATTCCACTTGCCGTGGAGGAACTGAGCCCGTGTGCCACAAGTACTGAGCCCATCCTCTGGAGCCTGCATGCTGTAACTGCTGAGCCCACATGTCACAACTAATGAAGCCCGTGCTTCCCAACAAGAGAGGCCATTGCAATGCATTGCACTGCATGCATTGCCCATGCACTGCAACTAAAGAGTAGCCCCCACTTGCCACAATTAGAGAGAGCCCAAGTGCAGCCACGAACACTCACTCAGCACAGCCATAAACAAATAAAATTTAAAAAGAAAGACTCATAAAGACACACACACACAATTAAAGCAAAGGGATAAGAGTACGTCATGCAAATTTTTAACCAGAATCCACCTGGCACAGATAACTTCTTAACAGACTGTCTCAGTTAGGTAATTGCTGTTTTTGAAAAGAAACCCCAGGCCCCAAGTGGAGTCACTTATGCTAAGTCCTGGACTTCCCTGGTAGCTCAGCTGGTAAAGAATCTGCCTGCAATGCAGGAGACCCTGGTTTGATTCCTGGGTTGGGAAGATCCCCTGGAGGAGGGATAGGCTACCCACTCCAGTATTCATAGGTTTCACTGGTGGCTCAGACAGTAAAGAATCCGTCTGCAGTGTGGGAGACCTGGGTTCGATCCCTGGGTTGGGAAGATCCCCTGGAGGAGGGCATGGCGACCCCCTCCAATATTCTCGCCTGGAGAAGCCCCATGGACAGAGGAGCCTGGCGGGCTACAGTTCATGGGGTCGCAAACAGTCGGACACAACTGAGTGAATAAGCACAGCACAGCACATGCCAAGTCCCATCAAGACTTAGTACTAGGATGGCCAAAAACTTCAGTCAGGTTATTCCGTGAGATGTTACAGAACTTAATAGCAGTTTCAGCTTCTCCCAGGAGTGGAATTTTAAACCAATTACTCTGAAATTACCTGAGCAACCCTTGTGAAGCAATCAGCTTGATAAGACCCCCTGCCTTCCCATAAGGCAAGGGGATCTTCCCTGGAAAATTCACTTTTAACTTCCTTGTCTCACCCTCCTTCTGCCTGTAAAATCTTTCCATCTTGTACATCTCAGAGCACACTTCTCTTTGTTTTGTTTGTTTTTTGGGGGTGGGCATGCTGTGGGACTTGTGGGATCTTAATTTCCAGGCCAGCGGTCAAACCAGGGCCCATGGCAGTGAAGGTGCAGGGTCTTACTCCAGGGAATCTTCCTGACCCGGGGATCGAACTCGCGTCTCTTGTGTTTCCTGCATTTCTTTGGCAGGCAGATTCTTTAGCACTAGCACCACCAGGGAAGCCCCTTAACCCCTGGACCACCAGGGAATTCCCTGAGCACACTCCTCTTTGTTAAATAGGGTGCTGTCTGTTTCATGAATCATTGAATGATGCCAATTAGATCTACAGATTTTCTCAGTCCACTTTGTTTTATTTAATACTGTATATCTAACTACCCCCAAATTTAATGTCTTGAAACAACCATACAGTTAGGTCACCCTTCTATGAGTCAGCAGTATGAGCTGGGCTCCTGTGTGAAATTCTTACAATCTCTGCAAAGCTCACTCCTATGTTTGTGATCAGCAGCTGGACAGCTCCGCTTCTGAAGGTTGCCTGGGCGTGACTGCAGCGATAAGAGGTGCCTGGGCCACAGGGCAAGTGATCCAGAAGACTAGCCTGAGTGTGTTTTGGGATTGAGAGCAGAAATGTACAGAACTTTCTGAGGCCTCAGCTCAGAGCTGGCACAGGATTGCTTCTACCTTGTTTTATTGACCAAAGCCAGTTATAAGGCCAATCCAGATTCCAGGAGTGTGGCAAAAAAGCTCCACCTTTCGATGGAGTAGCTGCCAAGAGCACGTTGCAAAGGGCCCAGAAAATAGGAAGTGAGGAGAATTGTAACCAATTCAACACCTACATAAATTCAAAGCTTGGGATACAGGCTGTAGGTAAGAGGTAGCTAGCAATCACGGAGCTATTCAAACCCACAAACATCCCACAGAGCAAAAGTCAATCTGAACATCTGCCACAGCCAGAGGAAACCAAAACCACTGCTGGTCTGTGCTGGTTATTAAGTAAAGCATTTCCTCCCCTTGCCTCCCTGCCTCTGCCTTTGATGGGTACGGCGGGATGCTGAGTGAGGCTGGAAAGAAACACACAAAGAAGCCAGCTGCACTGTCTTTGTTCCTCAGCACAGTTTTCCAAGTCAAACTTATTTGGGAGAGAGAGCAGGGAGCGGTTCTGAAGAGAGATCTCAGTTCCCTGCCCAGGAATTGGGTGGTTCTTGCTGTTGTTCAGTTGCTAAGTCATGTCTGACTCTTTGCAACTTCATGGACACTAGGCTCCTCCATCCTTCACTATCTCTCGGAGTTTGCTCAAATTCATGTCCATTGAGTTGATGATGCCATCCAACCATCTCATCCTCTGCCACCCCCTTCTGCTTTTGGCTTCAGTCTTTCCCAGCATCAAGGTCAATGAGACAGCTCTTCACATCAGGTGGCCGAAGTACTGGAGCTTCAGCTTCAACATCAGTCCTTCCAATGAATATTCAGTGTTGATTTCCTTTAGGATTGACTGGTTGGATCTCCTTACAGTCCAAGGGACTCTCAAGAATCTTCTCCAACACCATAGTTCAAAAGCATCAATTCTTCAGTGGGTTGCCATTTCCTCCTCCAGAGGATCTTCCTGACCCAGGGATCAAACTGGTGTCTCTTGTGTCTCCTGCATTGGCAGGTGAATTCTTTACCTCTGAGCCAGCTGGGAAGCCCCTTAAACCTGGGTAGCCTGGATGAAAACCAGGAATCCTAGCCACTGGACCACTAGGGGCTCGAGGATAGGAGCAAAGTCATCCTGGCTTCCTCCTTAGACCCCCACCCCACCCCCACCCCTGCCTCCTTTTGAAAGTAAGAATGTTTCAAGGTGGCAAAAACTGTGAAAACAGGTACAAAGTTTATTATTAAAGACCAAGTTTATTATTAGAGAGACAGCATAATAACAAGTGGGAGAGCAAATAGAGGAACAGTTTGTTTATTTAAGGCAGAAGCAAGGCAGAAATGCACACCTGGAGAGGAGTGGAGGTGTCCTGAATGAGGAGCACAGTGAAGAGGTAACTTGAATCTCTTATGTAGAGCAGTCCCTCCAGGTCTCTGTGAGCATGCGTTGCACGGCTGCTCAGTCACGTCTGACTCTTGGCGACCCTGTAGACTGTAGCCCACCAGGCTCCTCTGTCCATGGCATTTTCCAGGCAAGAGTACTGGAGAGGGTTGCCATGCCCTCCTCCAAGGGATCTTCCCCACCCAGGGATCGAACCCCCATCTCCTTCCTCTCTTGCATTGGCAGGCAAATTCTTTACCACTGAGCCACCTGGGAAGCCGTGGTCTTTGTTTCCATGTGGCCAATTATCTTGTTTCTTTTTTCACAACTGACTGGTCCTTGGACCCTCCGCAAGACAGGCGTGCAACTTTCTGCTAAGATGGATTCTACCACAGAGGTATGTAGGTGCATGTCCACACCTATTATGGAGTGGGACCCCCACTTTTTGACTCCAAGAAGGCTTCCTGCGCGTGTGCAGACAGGGAAGTTTTCCTTGACCTTAGGGGTGGGCACCTAATCTTGTTACTTCAACAGATCTCAGCTTCTGCCACTAGCTTTGTCCTCGGAGTGTCTGGGTGAGAACAAAGCTTGAATTTTACTCCACTTGACAAACACCAGCTGTCCAGACCAGGGGTCCACGTATCTCCTATCTCAAAGCCAGAGATAGCTGGCCTAGAGATGAAATGTAATTTAAAATGAAGTATGGAGGGCTTTTTATAGAGATAGTGAGTAGATATGTTCTGTGGCCTTCCTGAGTTGTTCAGAGGCACAGAAAGAAGTAGCTCCACAGGGCAGGCTCTCAGGAACAGTGGTGGCAACGGATAAAGCTGCTATCTGATTACAACCTCTGAGCCCGCAGACCCAGTGTACTGCTGTAGAAATAAGAAGTATAGATTGTAGTAAATGATATAAAGGAAATGAGCAGCATGAGAGAATTATGCTTCACAGAGCGGGAGGCATCGGGTTTTGTGATGGCGTGGCCTGGAAAAGGCTCCCTGAGGGGACTTGAAGCTGGAGAACGAACCATCTCAGTGTTTCAGGCAGAGGGACCGACTCGTGTCAAGTCCCAAGACGGGGAGGACCTTGGCACGTTCTCAGACAATGACTTGCTCTTTCTTTTTAACTCCAATTTATGGGATAAAAAGCATTTTCTTACTGCAATCCAGAACACACATGCATCCAAAACAAAAATTTCATGTAATTCTCCTACATCAAATACTAAAATGCACTCATATTTTCTTTTACTTCAGGTTCATTGAGATATAATTTACACACAGTAAAATCACCCTGGTTATGGGCACAGTTCCATGTATTTTGATAAATGTGTACAATCACAGACAGTACCACAATCAACACAGAGAACATTTCCAGACTCCTCAAAATTTCCTCCTGGTCCTTTGTAGTCAGTCCCCTCCCCTAGCATGAAGCCAGTAGCCAGCACTGATTTGATTTCTGCTCCTACCGATTTTTAAAAATAGTTTTTCTTGATGTGTCTATTTATAGGTTTATATGATTTTAATGATCTTTTCAAATAAATTGCTTTTGGTATCACTGATTTTTCTCATTTGTGTTTCTGTTCTCAATTTCATTGATTTCCTTTCTAATCTGCCTCATTTCCTACTTGTTCAGTTCACTTTGAATTTAATTTGCTCTTTTTTGTTTTTTTGGTCTCTTAAGAAAGGACATAGATTAATAATTTGAAACTTTTCTTATTTTCTAGTTTAATATGTAACTTTCCATTTAGGCACCACTTTGGCTATACCCCACAAATTTTGATATATTGTGTTTCTATTTTTATTCAATTCAAAATATTTTCTAGTTTCCCTTGTGATTTCCTCTTTGACACATGGGTTAATATTTAGAAGTGTGTTGTTTAACTTGCAAATATTCGAAAGATTTTCCAGATATTGTTCTAATTTAATTCAGTTGTGGTCAGAGAACATACTTTTTATGATTTCAGTTATTTTAAATTTATTGAGGCTGTTTTATGGCCCAGACTATGATTGATCTTGCTGAACCCTTCATGTGCACTTGGAAAGAATGTTGTTTTTCTGTTGTTTGGTGGAATGTTCTATAAATGTCAATTAGGTCACATTTGTTGAGCGTGTTCAGGTCTTTTTATCTTTGCTGATTTTTGGTCTACTTGTTTCATTGATTACTGAGACAGGAGTGTTGAAGGCTCCAGCTATAATTGTGGGTTTGTCTATTCTGATTTTCAGTTCTGTAAGTTTTCCTATTCATATTTTGGAGCTGTGTTCAATGCATGAATATTTAGGACTTTTATGTTCTTCATGAGTTGATTTCTCTTTATCCCAGGTAGCATTCCTTACTGTGGAGTCTATTTGTCACGTATTAATATAGCCCCTCTGATTTCTTTTGATTAGAGTTTCATGGTATATCTTTCTGCACACTTAACCTAAATATAGCTTTGTATTTGATGTGTTTCTTGTACAAATATATAATTTTGGTCCTGTTTTTATTTGTGTAACATAGTTAAAAGTAAATTAAGTAACTCAGAAAGCAACAGAAAATATTCACAATACATCTTGACAACAATAGACCAATATAAAAATAGGTTAAAAATAAAAATCAAGTTTTATATTTATGAAATGTACACTTTGGGAAGGCATGTTATACTTCAATAAAAAATTTCAGGGACTTGCCTGCGGTCCAGTGGTTAAGACTCCATGCCTCCACTGCAAAAGGTGCAGGTTTGATCCCTGGTCAGGGAACCAGAATCCCACATGCTGGGTGGCACAGCCAAAAATAAATAATTAAAAAAAAATTTCAGTGGAGAAACTGAAAAACAAAGTCATATAATTTTATGAGACTTTTTACAGAAATCAGTAGACTACTGATCCCTACTGGTACCTCATTTTCAGTTTAGAAGTCCCAATCTTATTTCACTTAGTTATTTTGCTATTAATTTCATACTTTTATATTTTTAATCAACATTATCATTTTTAATCAATTATTCAGGTACTTAGTCTAAAGATTCAAATGGTTAGGAAACAACACCCTTCCTCCCACTCCAGTGCAACATAGCTCATTTTAAAAAACTATTGAATTATAATTGACATACAATATATTATATTGGTTTCAGGCATAGAACATAGTGATTCAATATTTTTATACATTACAAAATGATTACCATGAGAAGTCTAGTTACCATCTGTCATCACACAGAGTTAGTACTATATAGTTCATTTTGCTTAAATGGATATTCATCAATAACATATTATGAGTGCACAAGCATTACTCACTAAATAAACTCTCATTCTCCTCGACCTAATAATTTCCCTTGTGTGTATTGTTTCTATATTCTTACCATTAATTCAACCTCAAAATATCTCCTAGTATGTATTTCTCTTTGATTTGTTCAAACACATCAAGACACCCATCACATTTTCTGAATGAGCGTTCCTCTTGAAGCCTCTGACCGGCTCCTGTGGGAACGGGCTGCCTTCCAGGCCTGCTGAGCAGCTGTGGTCTTTGGAGTCTCCTTCACTGTCTTTCTGGGAATTCTCTTCCTCTTTGCTTGTGTTCCATCTCTTGTTTCACGCATTTCAAGAATTCTTTTTTGTTTATCTCCTAGTTGTGGTGGAGCACATCTTGTAAGTTTCCAGAGCAAAGGTGCTTGAGAAGCAAATGCTTTGAGACTTTGTACATCTGGAAGTGTACTTATCCTCCTCATGAACTAATTAATAGTTCGCTTTGGTATTGAATCTTAGATTGGAAAAAAATTCCCAATTTTTTCTAGTTTCTAGGGAAATTAGAACCCCACGTGCTGAGTGGTGCAGCCAAAACCAACCAACCAAACAAACCTGTTTTAGCCTCTCTAGAAGTTGTTAAGATCTCTTTTTTCACAATGGTGAATTCAAAATGATATAGCTCTGCATGCATGCTAAGTAGCTTCAATGATGTCCAGCTCTTTGCAACCTTATGGACTGTTGCCTGCCAGGGCTCCCCTGTCCCTGAGATTCTCCAGGCAAGAATACTGAAATGGGTTGCTATCCCCTCCTTCAAGGAATCTTCCCGACCCAGGGATCAAACCCACTTTTCTTATGTCTTCTGCATTGGCAGGCAGGTACTTCACCACAAGCACCACCTGGGAAGCCCAATATAGCTCTAGAATTAATTTTGTTTAATGTGCTGGGCCTTGTCTCTCTAGAAACTCATCCACCATTTCTGGAAATTTTCTTAAATTATTTCTTTGGTTATATCCTTCCAACTGTTTTCTTTTTGTTTTACAAAATTATTTATTTTTATCTGCTCTAGAACTGACTCACTGAAAAAGACCCTGATGCTGGGAAAGATTGAAGGCAGGAGGAGAAGGGGATGACAGAGGATGAGATGGTTGGATGGCATCATTGATGCAACCGACGGACATGAGTTTGAGTAAGCTCTGGGAGTTGGTGATGGACAGGGAAGCTTGGTGTGCTATAGTCCATGGGGTCACAAAGAGTTGGACATGACTGAGCGACTGAGCTGAACTGAAGGTTTTCCTTGCTGCACTAGAGCTTTCGTCAGTTGTGGTGAGCGGGGGCTGCTCTCTAGTCAAGATGGGCAGGATTCTCATTGTGATGGCATCTCTTGTTGAGGAGCACGGGCTCCAGAGTGTGCGGGTTTCAGTAGTTGGGGACACACGGGCCTTGTTGCCTGGTGACATGTGAGATCTTCCTGGACCAGGGACCAAATCCATGTCCCCTCCATTGGCAGACAGATTCTCAGCCACTGGATCACCTGGGAAGCCACACTGTTATCTTTATTTTCTCTATATATAACTCCCAGAATCAGATACTGGACTTCTTGGACTGATTTCCTAAATATTTTAAATCCTTTCTCCCACCCCCCCCATTTTTCATCTTGTTTTTCTTTTCTCTACTTTCTGAGAGACTTCACCAACTTTATTTTTCAAGTCTCTGTGTTTTTGATTTCTACTATCATACATTTTATTTTCATTTTCAAGAGCTCTGCTTTGTTCTCTGAATATTATTTTTCATAGTATTCTGTGATTGTTTCATAAATGTAATTTCTTAACTCTCTTGAAGATATTAATAATAGATATTTGGCAAGTTTTCTCCCTCCTCTTTAGTTTCTGTTTCCTCTGAGGTGGGGTCTTCTCAGGTGGCTCGGTGGTAAAGAATCTGCCTGCCAATGCAGGAGACACAGGCGACATGGTTCCATCCCTGGGTCAGGAAGATCCCCTGGAGGAGGAAACGGCAACCCACTCCAGAATTCTTGCCTGGAAAATCCTGTGGACAGAGGAAACTGATGGTCTGCAGTCCACGGGGCCACAAAGAGTCGGACATGACTGAGCAGCTGAGCGTGAACGCACGCCTCTGAGGTAGTCTCTTATTCTCGTTTTGATTGCTCTCTGTATTTCAAGTTAGATATTTCTTTTAAAACTTCTGATGATCCTTGGCTATCTGCCTATATTTAAGCCTGGGGCACTAAAAAGCTGATTAGACGATCTCTTCTCTTTGCATGGGGCTTTTCAAATTTAACTTGAATGTCTTGGTTTCAGTTCTCCCAAAAGAGACCCTAAAACCAAGTATTCAAGTGGAAGTACTCAATGGAAGCATAGAGGAGTAGGAAAGTGAGACAGGGAAGAGAAAACAGCTGCAGAGCTAACTGTAACTGAGGCTTAATGCTATGGAAAACCTTTGGGAAAACGATGTAAAACGCATCTCAGAACTCTTCTATAGAGCAGAAAAGGAAGTTGGGACGGCTATAAAAAACAGAGAATCTTTGACTTTTCACTGACTGAGCCCTTACCAGGAAGGAAGAGAAGTCTTTCTTCTTCCTATTGTGTGTGTCGTCGCTCAGTCGTTCCGACTCTTTGCGACCCCATGGACTGTAGCCTACCAGGCTCCTCCGTCCACGGGATTTTTCCAGGCAAGAATACTGGAGTGGGTTGCCGTTTCCTTAAGCCTCTGCTATTGTTGCAGCATGTGAGAGCTCCCCCTGCTGGTCTCCTGACTATTTAATTGAGGTTTCCACTCCAGTATTCTTGCCTGGAAAATCCCATGGACTGGGGAGCCTGGTAGGCTACAGTCCATGCGGTGGCGAAGAGTCGGACACAACTGAGCGACTTCACTTTCACTTTCTATTTATTAATTATTATTATTATTATTATTATTTTTATTTTTACCATTTTCCCCTTTTTATCAAGGTCATTCTCTGAAAGCACTGCTGATCAAGGAGCAGATTTTCTAACTTCAACAGCTTTTTGTCCCTCAATATCAGAAAGGAACTT